CAACGCCCGGCTATTTTTTGGTTGCAGCCGTCATTGTTGTTTGGCGGGTCCGGGCTGGGGATTCGAACCCGCCACCCTAGGTGTACGTGGCTGGCGCCCTAGCCGGTTGAGCTATAGGCGCCGAGCCGTGAAACGACTTCTTGTTTTATTTTTCCTTGTATTTTTTTAAGCACCTTCCTACTCTGTGCTTAGAAAATGTAAGATGGTGACATGTCATAAACTTATTTTTTCCAGTTTGTACATTTTCCAGGACCTGGGAGCTCGAAGCAATGTTACAGGATATTCCCAATTTCTATTATAATTAATTATTTTTCAAGATATTCAGAGTTACACAGGATCGTTTTGTACCATACTGTTGCCAGAGACAGTGAGGTGACCAGGTGGAAAGGTTAACAGAGGTCAGGACAACATGGATGCCACATGTCTATGAGTAAAAGACGGGAGCTGGGCTGCCTTCCTCGTGTGCCCTCCCACCGGCTCAGCTGCTGCACTTTTCCATGAGAGCATCATATCCGTGGTTTGAGTCCCTATTGTTCACTAAGCAGCAGATACAGAGATGACCAACTTACTCTCACGAATACTTTTCCTTAAGAAGATTATACTCTCTAGTGAAGACAGTTTTTGAAAACTACTAAAAGGTAAATAGCCTTTCTGAGGAAGGGTATTATCAGCCATTCTATTCCTTAGAATAGACAGTATCAGTACCCTTTGTGATATCCTAATTTGAAAAGGAAGAAGTAGTAGATTTTACATGTCTAAAGAAAGTCAGAGCAGGAAAGGGCCTGGGAAGAGAGGGAGGGAGAAATTAAGGGACTATAAATGGATAAAAGAGCCAAAGGTGGAACCTAGGAATTGTCACCATGTTTCAAAATTTGCAATAGCAATGAACCTTGTAGTTGTTAATAATACCCCACCAGAAAATTTTATCTGTTGTTATCTCTCCCTTTACCTGATCAAACTCCTCGAGAATTGAAATACAGACAAGTTTTCAGTAGCTGGAAGTAAAATCCACAGCAGTGGATCCATTCTGATCCATTGGAATCACCAAAAAAAAAAAAAAAAAAAAAAAAAGCACAGGGCTCTACCCCTGGCTAAAGTATCTGCTCATGGGCCTAGGAAATTGCGACACTGTCTTCCCAGGCAGATAAACCTCTTTCCTGGATCTGCAGGCTGGGTCCTCTGGGATCTCCTTCTTACATCTGAAGGAGATGACTTTGGCTGGATCCAGCAAAGTCCTCCCATCTAAATCAGAAGGGAAGTCCTCTATCCAACCACCAGATGCGCTGTCTGTGGGAGACAAAAGCTCTGGCCCGTGGAAAGGTTACGTAGCTACAAGAACTGCTCAGTTTTCTCAAAGGAAGGAACAGAAGGCACCCTGCAGTCTAACCCAGGATCTTTGAAGCTCAAAGAAAAGACTGTGTGGAAGCTCAGGTTGAAAAACTCAAATTATTGGGGGAAAGCAAGTGTGTTTTGCCTCACCTGGCCAGAATCCTGAGCTGACCCCAGGCCTGAGGCACACAGGTTGACTCCTGGTCTTTGTAGAAGGGGAGATGAAGCCAAGTCTATGTCCATTTACATTTCCAAAGCAGTTTTGAACATAATCATTCTAAAAATGCTGAGTATACCTGGGAGGTCACTGGACCTTTCCAAGGCTCTTCTTTTCAACACAAGGGGCAATTATTCTCATTTAAACATATTTCTTTTCAAAAGAAAAACAAAACAAATAAAATAAGAACCCAGAGAAGGTAAATGACACTGTCTGAGGATGTGCAAGAAGGCACAGAGCTCAAGACCACGGGGATTCCTCGCGGAAGTGATGTCTGCTGGGAAGTCAGGGCAGGCACATACTTCATGAGGTTGAAAAGGAGACATGAGGTGGCCTTAAGAGGGTGTGAGGCGGGCAGCTGCTACTCAAGTCATCAGTTCCAATATATAATTTACCAAATCTTAAATTCTGTTTTAGAAGATTAAGAGGAAATCTCGAGTAGTGAAGATGTCAGTGTGGTATTAAGTTCAGTTTCCAATTAGGGAAAGATGTGAGTAGAATTTCCTTGGAGCTGGAAATGCTAGTTTGGGCTACAGACGATCTCTTGATTTGTGACTGATGCCATTTCTGTTCAGAAAATATACCTTTTGAACATGTAGGCAGTCAAAACATGTCTTTAAAGAAAAAAGAAAAGAACTCAAACAAATGAGGAAAAGACTGATAATCAGGATAGGATACAGATTCAGTGAGACCTTCAGTTCAATTCTGCTTTTGATCTTACTGATAGCCTTGGGCATCCTGCCTAAAATCTGAGTCTTGGTTTCCTCATATAGAATATAAGGAAACGAATATCTATCCCATAAGTATCAAAATCAAGTGAAGTGTCTTATTCAGCTCAGGACACCATAAAAAAATTAAATCCTAAACTAGGTGGTTAAACAAGAGAAACTAATTTTATCAAAATCTAAGGTTAGGCTGCCAGCCTGGCCTGGGTTCTGGTGAAGGCCCTCAATGGCTTATGACAACCAACTGCTTGCTGTCCCCAGGTGGCAGAGAAAGAGACTTCTCTGGTGGCTCTGCATAGACGGGCCCATAAGACCACCTTGAGGGCCCTCCCCTTACGGTCTCATCAAACCTTAATTAATTCCCAAAGCCCCATCTCCAAACACTATCACAATGGAGGGCAGGACTTCAACAAGGGAACTTCGAGGGGGGATACATTCAGTCCATAACTTGAGGTAATTTACACAGGGCCTCAGTCAGCATTGCTGCTGTTTTGTGTTAGATAATATGTCCCAGGAAGGACAAGACATCTAGTTGTGGAAACATCTTCAGGAGCTGACACATTAAAACAATTGACAATTCATTGGCATTTCAACAATAAATAAATATCTCCATGTGATGATTTTGAGGGAAAAAACAGAAGATCCATAAAAAGTTGAGAATTTAACTATACCATCTTTATTTAAAGACTCAATTGAATCATGAGTAGATTCAATTTCTTGGAAGATACAGTTCAGGGTCATTAGTTTCCGAGGATTGGATTGTGTGTGGTGTACCATGTTTACCAAAACACAGCACAAAAAGCATCAGTCCTTTGCATCTGCACCACTTCTAACTGTACCCTTGGGTTTCGCAAGTTTTTCTGTTTCTCTGTTGCCCAATCCTGTGGCCCATGAAGGGTTGTTACAGGTATTAGGAAGACTGCACAAAAGCACCTAGCACATCAAAAGGTCATAAAAATGGAGCTCTAATTACCAAGCTGCTGGTGGAAAATCTGGCCTTTAGTCTTAACCTGGAGTTCCTGGGAGAGTCATTTCAGTTCTCTGATTCTCAGCTGAACAAACATCCTATAAATTCTCAGCTGAGACATGGAAGTCAGATTTCTGGGTTCGAGCATTTCCTGGATGTTTCAACATAGGTCAAGTTATTCAAGTTTTTTTATGCCTCAGGTTCCTCACCTATAAAATGAGAATACTAGCGCTGTTGCAGAAAATAAACAGGGACAGTGTGCTGTCAATCATCATTACAGACAGAGATACGAGCACAGAGGAGCGCGGTTGGGTCCCCTGAGCTGGGAGGCCATCAGCCAGGTGTGGAGCCCAGGTGATCTAACACCACAGCCTGTGCCTTTAAGTTTTATATTTACTCAGTCTTTTTAAAAATTATTATTTCAGCACTCCAAGCCTCTCCACAAGCCATGCATGTGCAACATCTTTCGCAATTTGGTGGTAGGAAAAGGTTTGTCTCTCACCAGAAACTAGAATGTTTCCCCTTTTTGAAAATTGAGAATTACACCATTTATCATGTGTTCTTTTTGTCTTGGCTGCCAGGAAGCTCAGAGCCAAATTATTTCATTTAACTGCAGTCACCAAATTGTTTCCTTCTTCCTATATCTTTGTCCCTTCATTTCCCTTTTAATTTCTTCTTAACTAACATTTTCATTTGCAATATGGAAAGTGGTGGGGTTGACATGAGCAAATAAAATCGGAAATATACATTAAAGATTGTAGTTTTGAGCCTTATCTGTTTCACTTGTTCAAAGAAAAATGGTCAACAAGAAACTGAGAAGAAGTAATTTAAGGACTGTTTTAAAGGAGAAAAAAGAAAAACAACAGAAAAACAGAATGGCCAACACTAACAGAGGCCAAGTCAAAATAACACTGCAATAAATATGTCTGAGGCCAGAAGTGTTTGTGCCTCCCCTGGCTGGAACCTATCATTTCTTAATTATATCCTGTGTGTGTTTTGCAAGAAGTGAGCTGCTGTCAGGAGGAAGGATGGCCTCAGACAGGAGAGGGCCCGGCCCGCCCCTCGGTCCTCACATACCTGCACAGAAGCGAAATCCCCCGAGGCACAGGCACCCAGAATAGCAGCACCCACAAGAACAGATTCCACTTCTTGTGACAGGACCACAGGCATGCCTGAACAGGACAAGGCCACACCTCGGTTAGGGAGCAGGGCCCGGGGCAGTGCGGGCAGCCAGCAAGCAGCCCCGGTGTCGAAAACACCTGACGTCAAAGCAGCAGCAGGCACCCCCTTCCCGGCCCCCCACAGGTCCCTGTTCCTTGTTCCCTGGGATTACCTGCTCTACGAAACTCCAGGGCCTGGGCCTGCTGGTGTGGCAGCCAGGGGTCAAGGGAGCTGACCCCATAAATATCAACTCACGAGGCCTCAGTGCCCAGGTTCACCAGGCTTCTGCCGGTGGCTACCTGCCATTTGGTTCAAGTTCAGTTCAACAATTGTTTCATTAAGTGCTTTGCTGGCCCAGGGACTACTGAGATGAGTCAGACTCTGTCCTGCTATGAGGGTCTCGGAGGTGAGATGGGTCTATGTAGGGGGCTGGCTCTCTCACTGAAAGGTACTGAGAGAATGGGAGTAGCAGAGAGGGTGGCTTCAGCCCTCCAGGGCTTCCTACACTCAGAGTGGGAGCCACAGCCCTTACAGGGGCTGACAAGGGCTGCCTCCGGGACCTGCCCCCCCTTCTCTACACTGATCTCCTTGTCCCCTCCTGCCACGCTGGCCCAGCCTTCCCGGCTCCTTCTTGAGTGGCTTCAGTGCCCCTGCCTGTGCTGTCCTGTCTGGACACTTCCTCCCAGACATCCATGGGTAACTGCCACCCTCCTTCACGTTGCCTTCCTAGCCTTCAGATCTCAAACTATGATGTCCCCTCCACGCTCCTGCTTGCCCTCTATGTCCTCCTCCCCTCCCAGGCTGTGCTTTCCTCACTCAGCTTGTTTAGTATTTGTCTTTCCTGCCAGAACCTAAGCTCCCTGGGGGCAAGGGCCTGTTTTTGCCACTGCTGGAGCCCTGTCATTTGGACCAATACCTGGCACAGGGCAGGGATTAAATGGTGAGAGAAGGGATTTCTGGGGAGTGGTCATTCCAGTGGTGATAAGGACTAAGCAGGCATTGAAGGGCCAGCAGAGGCCCATCAGGCAGGGAGAAGCCCTCCATGTGCCAATACTCAGAGCTTGAGGGCTCATGGTGGGTTTAAGATTAATAGAAATAGGGTGGCACCTGTGGCTCAAAGGAGTAGGGCACCAGCCCCATATGCCGGAGGTTGCGGGTTCAAACTCAGCGCGCGAAAAAAAAAAAAAGATTAACAGAAATAATTTGGGATTCTTAGGATTTCAGTGTGTGTGCATCTGTGTATAGCACACACATGCGGGCACACATCTGCTAATCAGGACGTGGCAACAAACTCCACACAGGTAAGATCTGTGATGTGAAAACTTCCTCTACTCAAGGCATAAAAATTATGATTCCAAAGACTCGATTTCTCTTCCTATGTTGCCTGGGAAGACTTCCCTGACGACCTGTCTACCTCCCATCACTTTCGCACTCATCTCCTCCATACAGGGCTGCCCTAGACAAAGGGGGCAAAGCATAGAGTATCACTCAGGGACATTAGCTGCGCTCACCCCCCAGCACTGGGCCAGGGGGTGGGCCCCTGCTGACAAGGTACCAGGTGGGATTAGGGGTTGTAGGACTCAGGCCTGGGTTTGTCTCCTGGTTCCACTAGCTCGGTCTTTCAGCAAAGTCACTTGTACTCTTGTAGCGCTGGGTTCCCTACATGCAAAATGGGGATGATGGTAAGACTTAGGCAGAGGTGTGCTGCGAGGATTAGTGAGACACACTCCCTGGCCATGGTAAGCCCTGGCGAAACGGCTGCTGCTCTTGTCAGAATTAATGTCCGTGTGTGAGGTCCCTGCACATATATTCCACCAGTGGGGAAGGGACAGGGCAGGACCCCATCAGCCACCTGGATGATCCAGGGCACTGCAGTGTCCCAGGGACGGCACAGACATGAGTGTGACTGTTCCCACCCAGGGTAGCACCTCCAAACACCACTCACTTCCCAAGCCCTCCTCATGCTGTCAAAGCCTGAGGGGGAGGGGCTACTTGCAGTCCCGTCTGCCTGGAAGCCAGAGACCAACCTGAACCTGGGGGTCCCTCATCAGCTCTTGAGCTGTACCCCAAATGCTCGGGCACCAGACTGCCCGGGTGTAAGCACTGGCTTCCTCATTGACTTAGCTGTGTGATTCTATGCACGTTAACTAACCTTTCTGTGCCTCGGTTTTCTCATCTACAAAATGGGGTTAAAATTCCACCTACATCATAGGGTTGCTGAGAGGATTAAAAGTGCTGTGATAAGTATGGGATTTAAAACAGTGCTTGACTTAGAGAAAGCACAAGCTGTCATGACTCTTAAAGTCTACCTTACCTCTGAAGTCTCTCCGCACACCTATTACCCTGGGTAGAACCAACCCACTCCTTCTGTTTGCCAGGCAGACCGATCCCATCTCCTCTCCTCCTACCTGTCCTGAGCGCTGGGAGACTGGCCTGTGCACCGCCCCACCCTCCCATCCTTGACTGAGCTCCTTGTGGGCTACCGTCTTCCTATGCCACTCAGTCTCAGGGTGGTGCTGGTCCCTGCCTTCATTCCTGCAAGCCCAGGGGTGAAAACAGTGTTAGCATCCCCAGGGTACTTACTGGTTGTCTGGGTTTCCTACACCTGCCCAAACCTCTGTAAACAGAGTCTTTATTCAGTGTTTCTCCAGTTAACCCAATTAAAGTGGGTCTCTGTTCTCTGCCTGGACTTGATACTGATGCCTCTGTCCCCTGGGTCTCCCCTCTATTCTCTTATATTGGTTATAAGACCAGGGATACTCTTTCTGTGTTTTATAACAGACCTCCTGGCAGGGCATTATTGTTCTTTGTATTCCTGTGCCAAGCTCAGGACTTGGCAGGCTGGTGTGCTCAGAGAAGGCTTTTGAGTGAATAAATGAGTGAATAAATGATTAAAATAATGAATAAGACAGGAGGAGGGAAACCCCTACTGAAACTGCCAGTACTAAAAACAAAATTCAGATGAAGGAACATTTAGTCCCAAGTAAGTGGGGGAAACGTACAATTACTTAGTACACACCAAGTATTTTTTGTAACCACAGTTAACTCAGTGGCCAGGGTACAGGGAGGTCCTTCCACACCATGTAGACATCTTCCAAGCTGGCAAAGCCCTCTTTTTCTTGCTTGTATGGAGCAGTCTGTTCCCAAAATGACAGAGACTCACTTACAAAATATTAAACTGTCTTTTATTATTATTATTTTTTAATCAAACACACCTCCTCCTCTCTGGCACAGTTCTGCCTGGAGGGCAGAGTGAACTAACATTTATCGCTCAGCTACTTTAAACTGGGCAGAGCTTGGTGCTCACCAACTTGTCAGCAGGCATGAGCTGGGTAAGGAGATGATGACACTTATGATTTCCAGAGGAGAAAACTGAGGCTTACAGAGACATAACAACTTGCCCCAAGCCACTGGGGCTAGACTCCTTTTTCCAGTATTCCACACTATCAAAAAAAAAAAAAAGACTTCCATATTCCATGTGTCTTTTTTACACGTATTTCTGAGAATCATAAGTTACGAGGTCCAAGGTAACCCACGTTCTCCCTGAGTCTTTCTCTGTAGGAAAACTAGAGCAAACACAGTGTTTAAGGCACCAAAGCCACTACCTATACACGGGCTGTTGTGTGCGTGCCATGTACAGGGACAGATGCTAATGTGTTCTTTTCTCTGAGCCTGAGGAAGGAGAGGAAGAGGGCAGCCTTGCTTGGAATGTGAGCTATTTTATCTGATGCATTAATGAGTTTAACAGAACCCCAAGCATTCAAAGGCAGATGCACTTTGCCATCACTTGTCAGTCACAGGCTTCCAAAGGCAGAGGAATTCCAGGCCAAAGAAAAGGTCCCTTTGTCTGGAACTGTAACTGGTCCGTAGTGAGAGACAAAGGGTCCAGTTTTAACCCGAATCCAAATAACGATTAACAGCCTTTTCATTCAACAGGCTGGAGGAGAGTGGCTTCCAAAGCAGAAGTTTCTGCGCCGCTGCCGCACCCCTGCTTCTGAGTCAGCTGGAACAGAAGGCCTGCAAGATGACCCATTTTTACCAGGCCAGAGCCGGGTGTCAGTCAGTGCCTGGGGCCACTTCCAGCTGCCTTGCTCTGGGACCCTGTGCCCATTCCCAGGGGCAACTTGTCGCTCAAAGCCGACTCTCCTCTTCCCTCCTGCACTAGGTAGGAAGTCTTTCTGGCTTCAGAGTAGAGGTTTGAACCTTACCTGAACTAGCTAGCTGATTTTTAGATAAAATGTATATAGTCTTTCTCCTGGGGAAAATTATATGATAATCTTGGTTCCTTTTAGGTCTTTGCTCTTTCTGCTTCAGAATGGTCTGCTTCTAAGTCTGGATGCCTCGGAAGCGTGGGCTTACCATCAGATGGGACAAATGGGCAGAAGAGTCCAGAGATGGGGGCCTGCAGCACAGCATAGAGGCCCCGGGTGCCCTGCCTGGGTTCCAATGCTGGTCCTGCCCCTTCCTGGCCCTTGACTTCAGAAAGTCACTTAATTCACCTCCCTGATCCTTAGTTTACTTGTCTGTAAAATAGGAGCATCCAATTCCTGCCTTTTGTTAGAATGTGAGGGATAAATGTATACTGAGGGATTCATACTGACATGGTATTTGGTGCTTGGCCAAACGGGGGCATTTCTGTACTTCATGTCCTTATAGCGCCATCCGTAGCCTGCAGGCTTTTCTTACTGTCCTCAGAGTTGTATCTTAGTCTGCTTGTCTCTAAGATGAGGGAAGTGATTTGTTTAGTTTTCAACTCATAATGTACAGAGATCACCCATGTCCACACATTAGACATGTTTCTCCCATCTGCAGAAACATGTGTGGTCTGGAGGGAGAGAGGGATGTGATGGAGTGGAGGGAGGGCCAGAGGTACCAACCTGTCCAGCTGCCATAAGTGAGGAATCCAGGGGACAGGAAGGGACATGATGAGTGAAGGCCAGGGTAAGGTATGCTCAGATGAGGCTGGAGTGAGGGTGTGGGCAGGGATGGCCCTGGCCACCTAGGGATGGGTCCGGGGGGGGGGGTGTGTGGACATTAGTCCAAGGTGATGCTAGGGAACAAGGAGCAAAAGGGGTGAGGGCACCGGATCCAGAGAGATAGAGCTTCAGGCCAGCCTCTGCAGCACCCGCAGGCCTCTTGCCAATCAGCCCCTTCTTTGGAGCCTGGGGGCTCTGCTAAGGGTCCTGCCCTGCTATTGTCTGCCAGCATCATAAAGAGCTCAATCCATAACTCCAGACTCCCTCCAGCTAGATCATGATCCCTAATTCTGATGAGTTTAGAAGGAATCACAGAATCTTGGGGTTTCAGGGCTTAAATTCCCCAGTTTGCAGCCAGCCTGGTGGCCCCACAGCATCTGGGCTCTGTGTTCTTCTTCGAGACAGCTTCCGAATCAGTTTGACCAGACCACATGCCTCGGGCCATTGCTGGTCCCAAACTAGGTAAGGTGTCCCCCTGTGCTTCCATAAGACCCATGCACTTTTCTCTTGTCAAACTGTATTTGTCTGTTTGCACTTTGGCTTCCTCAATAGACTTGGAGCTCCTTGGGATAAGAATCAAGTCTTATTCATCTCTGTATCTCCAACACTCATCACAGTGCCTGAGTCAGAAGGGGCACTCAGAAGTCTTACATAAATGAATACATTACGGTACAGCCCTTGCCTGCCTTTCTAGCCTCATTTCTCATCGTCACTCAATAGCTGGATACCCACAGAAGTCACTTTTCCCATCATTCATATAAAGACTTCAGAATTACCTTGAAAATTTGGCCCACTCCCCATTTCCTCCTATCCTTATTATGCCCAGCACATGGCTATACCCATTTGCTGTCAAGCCTAAATTGGCCTTCTCTCCTCCTCCCCGACTTACCAGTAATATCTGCATGCATTTGCACGAAAAGGGGGTTCTTGCTCAGGCCTCCACACAAGAAAAGAGTGCTGATAGAATGGCCTGCTGCCTCCATGGCCTCTATGATGAAGCGGGTCCCAAACTGAAAGGGAAACGCAGAAGAAAGCATCAGTATGGCACTGGCAGTAGATGGCAGGGAACATTCACCAAGGGTTTCCCCAGTGGGAGGCACGCTCTGAGAACTTTACATACACTGTCTCAGAAAGCTGGGGCTCATAATGTTGCCTGTGATCACACAGCTAATTAACTCTCAGAGTGGGAATTCCAACCTGGGCCCGACTGAGTCCCAAACCCTCTTAATTACTATACCATTTGCTTCTATCAGTAGTTACACAGCGCTGACAAAAACAGTAGACGATGTCAAACACAGTTTGTATTAGCACAGTTTATTCAAACAAATATTTGATGAGTGTCTCCTGTGGGTCCAGCCCTCTGTGACATGGGAAAGGAGTCATGGCAACACACTCTGAAATTACCGGAGTCAGTGTTACCTGGGTTAGTCTTCCTTCAATAAATGGGAACTTACAGACATTTTCCTTAGCAAAGGCACCAAAAATTCCAGCCACAGACATGGCAAAAAGTGCATAAAAATGGTGAGACTCAAGGCTTCCAGCTGACCAAGGGCCAGTAGTGCCCTTGGTACCACTTGAAACCAGGTAGGGATTTTTCTAATGATAAAGCTTCTGAGCCAGAATCCCTTCCCACTCAGTCCTTAGTGACCTGGGAAGATGCAGAAATCACACGTTCCTGATGGGTCAGGGCTGCACCGTATTTCAGCCTTTGTGTCTTAACCTCTTCCTAACATGTGCGGTCTTGCCAAGTTCACCAAACTCAGTAAACATCACTGTCGTGTGAGAAGAGGATACTATCTTAGGGTCATGGAGGTAAATCTCAACACATAATTCTTTAGTTTTCGATGGGATATTCAAGTAGCTGAAAATCACTATTTTTTTTTGAAAGTTCAAGAAACTATAAGTTCAGACATCATTTAATTAGGGTTAGGATTACAAACAAAAAATGAACTGTGATGTGGCCTAAGGACCCTGCTCTCCCACCGTCCGCCTGTATCACGGAGAGCTCAGTCCACGCCTCTGCATTCCCTCCACCTCTATCATGATCCCCAACCTCATGAGCTGCGAAGGAACTGCAGAATCTCAGGGTTCTGTGGGGACAGCCACATTGTGCTGTTTGAGAAGGTGGCTTCGGAGAGAAATAAGGAAGGGGACTCTGTGGTGGATGGAAAGCCCTTGATACACTTAGGTAGGGAGCAATTCTGGTAGATGGAGAAGCTCCTAGGTATGGACATGGGAGCATTTTGGTAGCAAAAGTAAATGGCAGGGAACATTTAGTAAGTTTTGAGAGTGAACTGCTAAAGCAAAGGGAAGAGAAAGTTAGGAGAGATAAGAAAGCAGATCTGGGCGGCCAGAGAGGGAATGACCACCAGGAAGCAGGCGGCATATCTTATCTGGGGCTGGAGAAAAGACACAAGCCAGTATCACAGTTCTTAGAGAAAGTGTGCAGAGTGGGAGAAGAGGTAGTTTAGCTTGAGGGTAAAAAGGATCAGAAGCTTGGCCACAGTGAGGAATAGAGTTTCAAGAGTCAGCAGAATGTTGCCCTGATCCCTAGCCCCAGGTGGGTGGCGATAAGGGCAGATGAAGCCTCCTTTGATGAGGTTGTCTGGAAAGCTGTCCCCCCAGGGAGGGGGTGCAAGTGGTCAGAGGGTGATCTGGGGACCACAGGACATGACATATAAATTGTTCTGAAGTAAATGATGAGAAACAGCAGTAGTCCAGGGGCAAAAGGCAGCCTTTCTAGCCTAGAGGTCTTTGAGGGTTTGTTGAAGCTATTCACGAATCTGGTAAAAATATGGATTAGGGAAAACTTGGGCCCTCCAAAGATAGTCCACAGATGTAGTGTGTTAAAAAAAAAGAAAACATATTGTACCATATAAGGCGAGATCCTGCTTGCTGACTATGGCTGATTATTCCCAGATGTTCTTTCTTAAGCTTTTTGGGGGGTCATGAACCCCCTTGAGAATATGACAAAACCTACTGACCTCCCAGAAAAAAAAAAGATGAAACCTCCCATGCAAAATAGTATTATAGATAATTTTAGATAGTCAACAGATGCCCTTACATCCAACATGGATCATTTTGACGCTGATGGATTCTAGGCAACCCCAGTCTACTCTGGGGCATGAATCTGTTGTGCCTAAAAGTATGAGTGCTGAATTAAAAAACCTCAATCGGCACTCAGGCACTTCACATACTTTTTTTTTTTTTTTGCAGTTTTTTTGGCTGGGGCTGGGTTTGAACATGCCACCTCTGGTATATGGGGCCGGCACCCTACTCCTTTGAGCCACGGGCACTGCCCTACATACTTTTTTTGTACCTAATCTTTCTGGGACTCAACTCTCATTTTTAAAGTAGGAATAATAATAATACTATATTCATTCAGTTAAAAATTCTATGTATTGCCAGAAATCTTCCAATGCAAAAAAAAAAATTAAAAGTTTCATCCAAGACTTGATAAAATACAGAAATCCCTACCTCACAACCTTGCTGCTGCAGGAGCATAAGAACACCTGGCACACGGAAGGAAGGTGCTTACAAATGAGAGCTATTCTGGCCATCAGCTACATCCTAGGCACCCTGCTATGTGTCTAAATGTCATCTCCAAGCTTATGGCAAATGCAAAAACTGCCTACTGTTATCCTCACTTAGGAGATATATAATTTATCTAAGGCACTATGGTTTGTATGGCAGGGAGGGTATGTCTCCTAATTTGTATGGAAATGCCATGCAAATCTGATATTTCTGACATTTCTAAAACCAGGGACATAGGACCATGATCGATGAGCAGTCCTGACACAAGGGAAATACAAAACACATTTCCTGGGAAAGGACAGAAAGGATGTGAATACAGGCACTCCCCTGAGAGGGGCGGTGACAGCCTGTCTCTCCCGGAGTCGCACTGTGGGCTAGACCAGAATTTCCCGCTCAGCCAGCACTTTGTTACAGGGCATTCCCTTCTGGTGTCCCAGACTGCGCTCTGTGTAACGCTCCACCCTACTGAAATGCCCCACCAAAGGGCTTTGCACAAAAATGATTTTGTGCTCACCTTTCTGGAAAAAATGTTTTCACAGAGAAATTTAAATTAAAATTAGGCTATTCCACAGGGGATGTAAAGGACCAAATGCAAATCAAGGGACTTCAAATGCAAATAGTACTTTTTTTAAGGGTCTGTTCTGCAAAGACACTATAGATGTGCACTCTGTGGGTAAACTGGGTGGTTGACAGGTCTTTCAATTAAGGGTGATAGAGAGAATTTTACTTTGTGGCAGGTTTGCACAGTCCCAAGTTAACTTCATTACAATTTCCCTTTAATTTCCTTCCACCCCTACTAAATGCCAACCATAGATATTACTACAGAGAAAAAGGAATTTTTAACTCACTACCAACAAATAGATGCTAGGGCAATACTCAGGGCCAATGAAACAAAATGATTTTTTTTCCAGGTTGACCATTATGTTAAAAGATCTGTTGACAGACACTAAAAATGTACATTTTTGCTAAAAGATCAGACTGAACCCCTCCCCATTCAATTGACTCCACAATAAAGCCTTATCAAAAAAATTCTGTCTTAAAATGCCTTTCCTCTGTGGTATTATTAAGACAGCAGACAGAATAAATATGATAGCTTTTAATACATGTACGGCCCATTAAATACAAGATCGATTTTCCAAGTGTGTGGTAGTTGGGAAAATGTAGATGGCTGTTTTTTTTTTTCCCCCTCTCCTGGCTGCATTTGGTTTAACCTCATTTATGCTTTCCTGGACTTCTGCTGCTGGTATTCTTAACAGGAAAGGTACTTCTGTGAAATAATCCCAGGCTACATTATTGATGCTTTCTAAGATGGGTTAAGTATAAACCTGTTCTCTGGGATGCCTGCAAGCTTATTTCATCCACGCCACTCTTACAAACAGATCCAGGGAAAATGCAGCATGGAAAGCAGAAAGGACAGGAGGCCGGGAGTGAGGCAGAGAGAGGTTCAGATTCTAACCCCGGCACTAGCTGTCTGTGCTCCGCAATGGTCTCCCCATCTGTGAAATGAGAACAAACCCATCTATGCACAGCGTTATTGCTCTAAGCTGCAGGTAGGTGAGGCCCTCTGCTCAGGGCTGACACAAGGTCAGTGTCCGCTGAAAGATGATGGTCTTTACCCTCGTGTGCTGTTGCCCCCGCCAATCACGTCTGACCATGTCCTTCATGTCCTCTTAGCATGCGCTCAGAAAGACAAGCATTATACAGCCCTGATCTTAGGACCAGGGTCATTTGTTTCCATGTGAGGGATTCACTCTGTTGTAAGACTTTTCATACAACAAACCAAATCAGAGAGTAAAAGTTCCTCAGTACAGTCATGTGTCACTTAATGATTCTGAGAATTGCATCATTAGGTGATTTTGTTACTGTGTGAGCATCACAGACCCAGATGGTGCAGCGCACTTCACACCTAGGCGCCTGGTGCAGCCCATCACCCCAAGGCTGGGAACCTGCACGGTGTGTCACTGTGCTGAACACTGTCCAAGGCGTCCAGCCTTTTTCTTCTCTGCTGCACACTGGCAGAGTAAGAGTTGTCCTGGGCCACACATTAAATACACAAATACTAACGAAAGCTGATGAGCAAAAAAAAAAAAAAAAGTGCATGCTTTTCATGATATCAGACACCCAGATAAGGGGAACAGGTCTCCAATAATCTGCTACGGGTTGGATGCCCTGCATAGGTAACTGTAACAGGATGGTGAGCGTTTATGTATCTGAATACATATCTAAACACAGCAAATGAGGCATTCTATTCTTACAGGACCACAACTATACCTAGGATGTGTAGTCTCGTATTTCAAATATCTCGTTTTATTTTAGAAATTTGGGTTCAAATCCCAGAGCCACCATGTACCAGGGGTGTGATTCTGAGCAAGTCACCACAAGGAAGTTCGGGTTCCTAATACGTGGAATGAGGATTATAATCCCTACTTCATAAACAGGGTTAAATCAAAATAAAGTGCATAAAGTATTTAGCACAGTGCCTAGTGTATAATAAATGCCCCAATTCTGTTATTTATTATTACCACCACAATCATCGTCATTTTGTTATCTTTTAAGTAGGATCACTAAATACTATGATTTATACTTTCCTTTTCCATCTTCATCTTACTATCAATTTCCTCCCTTTTGACATGTCAGAATCCTCTGTTTTTGATTCAATGCATGAAGCTGTCGGATTTCACTGAACTGGCCAAGCTATTAAATCAATAAGAAAGCTGATTTAAGAAGATATAGTCAAAGTAGTCTATAATCTAAAAGCATTATTTAATAAATTTCACTAATTTCATAGTCTCATGCAGTTGTAATAAAGAAGGTATATTTCTTTAGGATTATGAGTATTATTATTATTTGGAAGTCCCATTCTCTATTATACGTGGCCCCTGGAGGATTCTGAGAGTTAAATATTAACCAGTACAATGTAAGCATTCTAAACTGTATATGAAATCAGCTCATTGTACCCCATAAATGCACTAATGTATACATGATCTACCTCTTTATGATTTAATAAACCCCCCCAAAAAGCTCTTCTGTTGGTGATGTGAATAAATATGCATGTAGTTCTATTATTTAAAGTGATGAGGTTATGCAAGAGTAATTAGATGAAAAATGTTTGTTTAAATAGGTGTCACTGAAAAATAAGTTTTGAACCAAAATTTAGAGAGGTGATTTTTCCTTTCTGTTGGCTCCCATTCTCTTTCTGGAAGTGGCTAAGCCTCCCTGCATTAACTGTTATTTGGGGGTACTGCCCTGCTCTGAGACTCTGAAAGCCACTCTACAAGCCTTAGAATATGTACATATGCACAACCTTTCGTATGTGTTTTCAGTACACCCATAGGTCACCTCTAGAGAAGAAGATTCTCTAGACAATGTTTGAGCTTTTAGAATTTTGTTTCTATTTTTGACTTTAGACCAGTGGTTCTCAACCTGTGGGTCAGGACCTCTTTGGGGTCTCCTGCATATCAGATATTTACATTACAATTTGTAACAGTAGCAAAATTACAGTTATGAAGTAGTAACAAAACTAATTTTATGATTGGGGGTCACCACAACATGAGGAACTGTCTTAAAGGGTCATGGCATTAGGAAGGTTGAGAACCACTGGTTTAGAAGCTCCTACTAATTTAGATTTAAATTTTCCCCTTCCTCCCCAACCTCTCACTTAAGCAGCTCATTATCTAAAAACACACAGCTTCGGAGTGGTGCCTGAGGCTCAAAGGAGTAGGGCACCGGCCCCATATGCCGGAGGTGGCAGGTTCAAACCCAGCCCCCAGCCAAAAACTGCAAAAAAATTAAAAAATAAAAAAAACCACACACACAGTTTCATGTTGTAAGGAAGGCTACTGTTTAAAGGAACCCTACAATGAATCCTTTTGCAAAGGGGATGATTACCTTGTGCCTTATAAATTTGGACATTTTTAACACCAACTTTTCTTAATGCAAGCATACATGGCAACTGCTGGCTTGCGTCTACTTAATTAAATTTAGAAGACAAATTAGATAAATGACAAGTATCATGTTCAAAGACTAACTCCTTTCAGCGTTTAGTTATGTGTAGGTCTTGGTTAAGACAGGTAAGGATCTTCAGCAACATTCTAGACATAAGGCATCTCCTTTTTAATTAAGAATCTCTGTCATAAAAGCATGTTATGTGTCTGGGTGAATATGTGGCATAGAGCGTGTTGACAGCCCTAAGTCTCACTAGAAATATCATTACAGTGTCTTACAGCAATGGCTTGAACTGTGGCCAGGTAGAGGATGGCAAGATCATCGAGGTCCTGAGACAGTTTCAATCCTGTGACCTGTAGGGACGGGAAAAAAAAGGAAGGAGATGGTCAAAAGGAGATGCCACGGATAGAGATAGTTCCCATGAAACACGTTCAGAAGTGTTTTCTTGCTGAAACAAGTTCATATGCAAATCCCCTTTTTGTGAGCTGAACGTGAAATGCCTACTAAATTGTTTAATCTCCAGACCTGGGAAAAATGATCCCTTTCTACCCCAAAGAAATTGCCTTGTCCTTAGATTAAACCAAAACAAAACAAAATAAACGGTGCAGGAAGATTGTATTTGATACTTCTTAGTATTTAATTAAATATATTTCTTTAAAAAAATACCCTTTCATACAAAAGCTATTTTCTGTGGCTTATGAGAAATGAACATATAACAGCGGCATTCTAGTACAAGATGAGTACTGAGTTTTCTACTGAGTTCTGAGTTTTGCTACTGTCAGAATTCGGGGTAATGCTGCCTATGCAGAGTTCAGGGTAAAGTAATATGTCTCCTATACATCAGATACCTACAAGGGGATAATTTAGAACCTGTGGCTTGTAAGGGAATCCCATTCAAGTCATTGGGAACATGTGCTCATGTGGAATACGTCAGTCTTTGAGCCGTTCTGGAACTGAACAGGCTGGTGGACGGGGACGCCTTCCAGGCTCGCTTCCAGGCCCACAGTCACTTCCCCCACTCATCAAGGTATTTTCAGGACACATCTGGACATGAAAGCTGCCGGTTTCTCCAGCCGAGACTATGGGCATCGACACGGCAGTTCACTTTAGACTCGCATTATAAAGTTAACCCCCCTCGGTTCTCACGGTGCACGCGGTCCTGCGCTCAGCCAGGCGTGGGCATGCAGGCTGCATCAAAACAGAGCAGTGAGTGGTCTCCTGAGGGCCTGTCCTTCATCCTCTCCAGCCCCATTTGTCATCATTATTCTCTCCAGATTCTGCCCCCAACTAGGACAGGCCTATTGCAGGGTGCAGACGCCAGTTAGTGGCCCACATCAGAAACCTGGGCCTTCTTTCTTGAGTTCTCCCTCCCTTACCCACATTTAATCAATCAGCAAGTCTTGCTTTTCATCTCCCCAAACTCTTCTGAATTCATCTCCTTTCTTTATCCTCACAGTCATTCACCACCTCAACTCAGACCCACTGTTAGGCCCTTCCTAACTACTGAGAAAATCCCTGAGTAAACCCCCCTCCCTAACTGTGCTCCTCTCTGCAACAGAGTCACACCAAATGCCAATGTGCTCCTGGCCCCCCTGGTTCAACCTCTCCCCGCCCTCCTTTCCTCCTTTCACAGGGGGATGGCTACCACCTCCTGCCCCTGTCCTGGGCTGGCCTTCACCTCCTGTCCAGCCTCTCTTCTTGGCCTTCCTCACTCAGCATCACACACAGCCACTTCTGAATTACTTGCCTCACTCTGGTCACGAGGGGATTCTTAAATTCAGCAGAGCTCTCTGCTGACAGTTTTTCTTGGGAAGTAACTGGGCAACTGGATGAGAACGGTGGCTTTCAATTTAACACACAGAATGACAGAAAATTTGAATAAGATACCAGAGGGAAACTCTGGGGATGCATCTTCCCAGGTCAGTAACTGTGAAAGAACAGCGCTCAGAGGGTCCCTGGAGAGCTAAAGGCTGCAAGAGTGCTGGAACTAGGTGAGGACGCACACCCCACGGACATTTCACAGGTGAGGAGGTACCCTGCCTACAGGAGCATAGAGAACAGACCCCAGAGCCTGACAGACTCCGTCTTACTCACTGACGCACCTCTGATGCCTATACCGGGCCTGGCTCATCATGGACGCTAAGTTACTAGTGCTGAAGGTGTGGATGAGTAAATTGGACAGTTCAATTCTCCTTTCCTCCTCTCGGACTCCACTCTCTCTAGTGTCCTCTCCTTCTTTGTTGAATTCTACAATTACAGCCGGGTGATATTTACTGCCTCAGCTCCTCACCCATCCACAGAGGAGGGATGTTCTCATCACATCCCAAAGAAAAGGGCACTGGGAGGCACGTGCCCCATGCCCACCCCTCCTGCCCCCACACTTATCCTTCCTCATCAGAGGAAGTGGGGTCTCTGTAGCCCATATACGGCCTTTGTGTCAATCAGAAAAAGGCACCCCCCTCTGGGAGAACAAAGTGTAAAAAGGCACAGAGTAAATAAATAGGATTTCAGGCCAGTCACCCTGAGGTCTGCCCCTCAGTACCTGTGATGTGGCAGGCAGGGGCCCTGGGGTGGTGACGGTCAGTCCTGTTGGCTTCTTTCCCTCTCCTGTGCTGGCCGCTGCTGTTGGTCTACCAGGCAAGCGGACGGGCCCAGCTCAGAGCATCCTGCAGGGCCAGTCTGGGAGGCTGCCCCTTTCTGCCTTCCTCAGTCTGGTCATCAGAGAGTGGGTCAGGCCATGATCAACAGATGGGTTCTGAAAACCAGGCTTGGGTGATTTGTGATGGGGACAGGGTGAAATGTGGCTTTGTATGTAAGATGCATTCCTATTTTCAGATGAAAAAAACTTGAAGCTTAGAGAGATTGCAAAGCTCATACACTGTCCTACAGCTAGTGAGATTTAAACCAGGTGCCCTACTCTAAAGCTCATCCTTTCCACTTATATACACTTCTCTTCTAAACTCAAAAATCCTGGCATTTACATAAACATTTCATACCTATAATCTCAGATGTTGAAATTATGCATTTTTCAGTGGTTTCCATTTGGGGGGCCTATTGTATCTGGCTCTCACACATCTCTGAATATTAATTATAAATGCTTTATCTTATAGTTCTCCTCATTGCACAATAACCAAAATAAATTAAATATGCTTAACACTGCAACTCTCTCTTGGGCCTTCCCCACATATCTGACAGTTTTGCTTGAACATTCAAAATAGGCATGTGCACATCTCTAAACACAATCCTTACACTCACACTCCCTCCCCACTTCCTCTTAACATCTCTAAACACAATCCTTACACTCACACTCCCTCCCACTTCCTCTTACTGGGGTGACCATTCAACCCTCAGCTGGGCTACTGGCTTCGCTGGCCCTTCCCAGCCTTTTTAGCCATTGTGAAGCTGGGTCTTCCCTGGGACATCGTTGACAAACCCAGGACACTGCCACCACCTCCCTTCCAAGATGGCTTCCCGGGTCCCAATCAGCCTTCTCTGCCATTCACGGGGTAGGTGTGCTGAGAAAGTCCCGTCCTGGACCAGCTACCCTGAGGTCTGCCATATTTGGGAGATAATCACATGGGCTTGTGGCCTTACTGACCATCCACTTTTCTATAGCCTCCACCTGCATATCAGTGTGTGTCCAGGAAGCAGGGACCCCAGACTGAGCATCACGTTTCAGGGGCAGGGCTCTGGTGTAGCAGGGAGGGAATGTGGAAACGGCCCCATGGGGAACTGTGTTTGCTTCCTCCCATCTGACGCTGAGTACCTACCCCATCTTGATCCAAGCCTTCTAGAATTTCCCCCCCGATTACGTCTCCTCTCAGGGATAGCTGTGTTTGTTTTCTTTATCAGAAAAAGGGAAGCTATGTCACTCACTCTGTGTTCCTTTATCTATAGTTGCCAGCAGGCGGAAGAGTTACAATTAGTGCCCAATGACACTGATCATCTCGTTCTCAGTTTCTGGGGGAAAAGTTATCTTCCCCTTTCTTCTCTATGATTTCTAAGCTCTGGAGGCATTGGAAACTTAAAGAAGGGCCCATGCTCTGTTTTTGCTTGAATCCCAGTGCTTTTTGGAAGTTCTAGGTGTCTGCTGGGGAATAAGGGAGTTAATTTCAGTTACATCACACTCCTCCTCGCTCACAGATTCTTACTGATCGAGGATAGCAGCACCAGTTACATTAGCAATATTGTTGTATAAGGCATGGAGGTTCCCACTAAATGCCAACATGGGAATGCATACCTCGAAGTATTATTGTGGGGGTTAAATGAGAGATCGTTTGCAAATGAGGCATTTATCTTTAGTAAGCTGTATTCACTCTACAAGAGATAGATACTCCCCAACCTCTTACATTGCCAACAAGGTACACACAGGTGGCACTTAATAAATTTTGTTTATTCCTTTCTCTTAAAAAATGTTCATTCCTTCTCTCTTGAATTTCATGAAAGGCTTTATCATATTCAGTTATTGGGTTATATCAACAAAACAGCTCTGTCATCATGCTATGGGTACCCTGAGGGTCTTAACGAGGGGCTCTCAAGCCTAGTGCTGTCCAGTGTGAGGAAGCTGGGCCAGAAGTTGATCATTAGCACTGGCATCATGTCAGAAGTATAGACATGTAGGGGTGTGGAGAAGCAAAGAGCCTTTGATGAGTGCTCAGGGATAGGACAGTGGGGGACCCACTTGTAAGGACTCCTTGGGGAAGCCTTAGTTCCTATAAACATACATACTTCCATCCACTATGTAAAAAGCACAGCCAGATGGCCACTCTTCACTCTGGACTTCAGCTGAAATCTTGCTGCCATTCAGTAGCTGTTTAAACTTAGACATATTTCTTACTCTTTCCTGGGATCCTACTCCAGATTTGCTGAACCTTTGTTGTAGGCCCAATAATTTGCATTTTATCAAAGTGTTAATGCATAATGAATTGTGGGAATGATTGCTCTAAATCTTGATATTATGAATTGTAGGCTCACAGGCCCTAAGATAATAATAAATATATCTGTAATTAGTTAAATATTTTCCTTCCCAATTGTTAAATGAATTGAAGTGATTATACATATATGTTAGTAAGAAAAAAGGGCTTAGGAATAGTTCCCCAAGGGGTCTCTAAAGATTACAAAAGACAAGAAAATGAGATTCCCAAGTCCTGAGATGTTCTAGGGTCATCAGAGCTTGATGAAGGTACCCAAGGCTCAGGGGAATGACTTGGAAGCTTTCCAGAACACAGCAAAAGTGCTGTTTGTTCAGTTGATAGTGAAAGTGAAGCTTACGGGCAAGGCAATGAGGAGAATCCGAGATTTATAGGAGACCTCTGGACTGCACGGAGAGATTGGAGGAGGGGTCTGAGAGAAT